GCTCCCATGCAGTTTTTGCAGGTTGGCCCTATCAGGCAGTCTGCAAAGCCCCAAGTACTGGCTGTTAAGCTGCCAAGGCCATCCTGGTGGGGTCCCCGGGCTTCTCCATGGGAGATGGTTCGACCCCTTTTCCACGCTTCCAGAAGGAGGGCAGCCGTGCAGTCCCTGAGCGAATCAGACCAAGTTCAGGAGCAGCCACAGCGAGCTCGAGCACGGCGCGCTGCTGGGAAGCGCCGGCAGTTCTGCTCTGATCCGAGTTGGAGGAGAATAATCAAGCACCCCATCCGAGTTCCCCCCACTTCGAACTGCAGCCTCACGGGATTAGCAAGAGCTTATCAAAAAGGACACTTAGAAAGAGAAACATAGAAAAAAGTGAGTCAGAAGGGATCTCCCGGGCCATCTAGCCTGACCCGCAGCCCCAGCCAGCTCCTCTCATGCCACCCCCAGCATGTGGTTCTCCCATCTTTCCTTGAACGCCCGCACTGCTGGGGCCTCCACCACCTGCCCTGTGAGCCCATGCTGTATCCCGAGGAACTGCTTCCTGACATCCAAGCTGAAGCCTGGCTCCTTGAGCTCTGCCCACTGGAACCAGCGCAATGGGGCAAATCAGGCCATGGCCCTCTTTCACGTGGCAACCCCTCACATGCCTAGGAGTCCCTCAGAGGTCCCCTCAGAGTCTCCTCTCCTCCAGTTCCCTCCATCTCATCGCATATGACCTCCCCCAAATCCAGCTACTGCTCTTGCGACCCTGGCGCCCTGCGCTGAACCGAGCTTCCGCTGCTCTGGGTGCAGCCCAGCCAGAAACAACCCACGGCCTCCAGAGCGCGAAGGAGGAGCTTGCACAGCGGCTGCTGCGAGAGCTGCACTCCATCGTGGGCGAGCAGGGAGGCGAGCAGGCCAGGCCCACTCCTGCGGCAGCCGTGCCAGCCTGGCTCTTGCAAATGGGCCACTGCACCCGCCCGTCCAGGGCCCAGAAACAGACCCCGGGCCCGGCGTGGAGGGGCAGGGAGGCAACGCGCTCTCTGGACCCTGCAGGCCTCACTGCCTGCTGGGGAGGCCCATCCCAGCACCCCGGAGGGACACTGACTGACGACTGCACGTCTCTCATGGCTTGAGGTCGTGCAGCTTCCCTTGGGCAACACTGGGACTGGCTGGCAGGGAAAAGGGCGCTGCTGGGAGCCGGCCGGCTCCACCACTGCCCCTGCAGGCCGGGGCAGGTACGGCTGCACACGTTTCCAGCACTCCAGGGGCCCGGACACAGGTGCAGGGGGCCTGTTCGGGCCATTCCCCTCCTGGACAGACCGCTTGGCACCCTCCACCCTGACCTCCACGCCCCGACAGAATCGTCTCTAAGCCAGGATTTTGTTCAATCTGTGTCCATCTGCACCTTTGGGCCCGTACGGACCGCCCTCAAGCCTGCAAGCGGCCTGACCTGGGAAGAGGCATTCTGCTGCAGACTCTGCAGGTCAGAGCAGGAGAGAGCCAGGCTTAGCTGAATCCACTGCAATTCCTTCTGAGTTTTTAGGCAAGGAGAAGGAATAGAGGTGAAGGGGAGGCTTTGCCCCCAGCACACGCAGATTTTGAGAACCTTTGCATTAAAGTCCCACTGCTTTTCCTGTGTCTGCCGAAGGAGTGACCCCTTTCTGATGCAAGCCGAGCGGGGCTTCTGCCCCCTGTGGGGGGTGGCCAGTGGGGTTGGCCCAGTAGTTCCAGGAATGCCCCCTTCCCTGTGCCCCAGGGACGTGCACAGGAGGCGTGTCCTCGCACCAGCAACTTGCTCAGGGAAGGCTTCCACGGGCAGTTGCGCCGAACGCTCAGTCCTTCAACACCTGAGCGGGCAGAGCGCAACCTGCGCAAGTGGCACTTGCAAGAGTCCCTCTCCATCTCCCTCCCTCTCTCCCTCTCTCGTTCTGCGTGTGTGTCATGGCGGGGGGAGCGCAGTGGGCTGCGAGCAGGGGAGCGCTTTGTGGATGCCAGTCAGGGATTGCGTAATCCCGGCCCCCACAGGTTGCTCACTCCTGTCCATCGCTTTGACCGTGCAGCTCAGGTAGCCGCAGCAAAGGCTCCGAGACAAAGGCAAGCTCCCAGGATTGCTTTAGGTGTGGCATGTTTCTGTGTCTCTGAGTGTGTGTGGCTGATGATGACACCATGAGGGGAAAAAGAAAAAAAGAAATCTTTATTTCATATCTTTCTCTTGTTGTACTGGTACACAAGTAAAATAAAATGCATATCTCTGTCTATATATATATTTATATATATATATACTGCAGTCTTGAGTGAATGAAAAGTGAAGCATTCTTTAACAAATGCCCCTCCGTAAACATGGCAGAACGGAAGCAAAGGATGGACCGAGAACACTGGAACCAAGGCAGCGTCAAGGTGCCACCTGGGCAGGTGGGCAGGGCTCGCAGCATCGTTCAGGAATGCCTTCAGGTTGCAAATAATGCTTAAAAACATCTGAAAGGTGTATTTTCTGCACCTTTTATTTTTTATATTTTGTTACTCTTTCATAGGTGAATCTTTTTCTTTTTTTTAACCATCTGCTCTTGTGGGGAAGTGTAGTTCCAAGGACCAAAAAGTAAAATAAAATCCAACACATAGATTTCAGGAGAAACAAACCAATTATGTACAGCTTTTTGTGTTTCTGTTTTGTTTTTATAAAGGCATCCAGTTAACATTGAGTGTAACAAAGTTTTCTCAGCACATAGTTTACTTTCTTCTCCTTTGCAATGTTTTGTGGAGGTGGCTTTATTTTTAAATTTTTATTTTATTTTTATAACCAAACGTCTGGGACTAAAGTATCTCTCCTCATGGAAAATACTTGTTCTAGCAGAACCGAGCCAGGCTCCACACCGAGAGCGGGATCAGCAGGCCCGGGGTCAGTGGGGCCGTGGCGCTTTGCGTGGGCTGGGCAATGCGGCACTGCGACCGGGACTTGTTCTTTCTCGAGCAGCCCTGCCTCTTTTTGGTTGGGACTGTGGAGGGTTCGATGGGGCCTAGGAACTCGGGTTTCAGATTGGTCAGTGGAGGGTCCACTGCACTGGGGAAAGTCCCGAAGGGGGAGTCGTTGATCTGCTTGTTGCTGCTGTTTTTGGAAGAATCCATCTCCACTTGGTACTTGGTTTTGGCCATGTTCTCCTTGTCCTTGAGCGGATTGTTCGGGGAGGCCCGGCTGCTGTGTGAGGAGGGGCCCGCCTTGGCTTTGGCTTCATAAATGAACGATTTATCCATTTCCGGTTGGCAACATTTCCGGGAGCTGTCCTGGGGATTGAGAGGTGGCTCAGCCGTGGCCAATTTGCCAGATCGGGTCTTAGTGCTAAACACACTTGTTCTTATCTGGCTGGAAGGGTCGATACATCCCTCCAGGTCAGAGCTCTGCAGCCGCTTGAGGTCTCTGCCTGCCAGGTGAGCAGGTAAGTGGCACTCCAGCTCCGAAGAAGAGCCTTTGAACTGCTTGAACCAATCCCAGAGCGACCGGGCTTGGCAGTCGCACAGCCACTGGTTGCCGTTCAGGCGGAGATACTGAAGGGACACCAAGGGAGCCATCGTCTCTCCCGAGAGCACCGTTAGGTTGTTATTGAAAAGGTACACGGTCATGACTTTCCCAAGGTCATGGAACGCCCTGTGATGGACCATGCTAACCCGGTTTTGATGCAGGAGGAGCCTGTCCAGGTTAATCAGCCCCCGAAACACGTTTTCTGACAAGCTCTTTATTCTGTTACCATGCAAAAATAGGTAGGTGAGGTTGGCAAGATCCAAGAAGGTGTCGTCCAAGAGGTTCTGCAGGTTGTTATCCTGTAAATAGAGATACTGCAAGGAAAAAAGCCCCCGGAAAAGCCCCGTGGAGAGCTCCAGAAGCCCGCAGCGGTCGAGGTGCAAGGTGTGAAGGTGCACGAGGCCTTGGAAGGTGGAAGGGCTGATGGACCTCAGGTTCATGTTGTCACTGAGGTCCAGTTCCTCCAGCTTGTCAAGCCCGTAGAAGGCCCCAGGTTCAATGAGGCTGATGTTGTTGGAATGGATCCACAGGATGGACATGTTGCGGCAGGACGTGAAGCTGGTCGACTTGATCAGGGCAATTCTGTTGCTGTGCAGGAAGATGCGCTGCGTCTGGACGGGGATCTCAGCCGGGATGGCTCCAAGTCCTTGCTGCTGGCAGCTGATGGTGATCTTGGGCTCGCTGTAACATACGCAAGCCCCGGGGCAAGGCTCCGCCTCCCGCGGGAAGTTCAAGCAAAGCACCAGGATCAGCAGTCTGCTTCCTGAAAGACAGTGGGGGTGGGGCGAGGGGGGAACAGGCGAATTAGATGATTAATGCATTTCTTTTCCAGCAGCTGTGACATCAGTTTGAAATGTGTCTGTGCAAAATGCATTAGCTGCACAATGCTGGGTAAACCAGATTAACATTAAAGGGCTGGAAAGAATAGATACTTGGGGGGGAGGGGGTTGAAGTCGTCTGTCCCCTTTCTCTCATTCAAGTCCGGGCCATAAATTGGTGGGGGCAGAACCTGCTACATAGTTGAAAGCTGTTGGTTCCACCTGCTCTGGACAGGATCCACTCTGAACTTTTAAAAAGTGCCCCAGGAGTAATGCTAGGTAACGATATGGGGTTGCTTCCCCTGGATCTGCAGGGGGTGGGGGAGGCACCCAGTTTCCCTCACAAGATCCAACTGGGCAACATGACATATCCCCAAAAGATTCAAGAGTGGGGAGGGGTCCTGGACATTTGCCAGCAGCAGCGAGGAAAAGCATTGCTTATAGCTCTAGAAGGTAAGCCTTTCCCCAACTGATTACCCTTTGCCCCCCCCTCAAAAAACAAACAAACAAAAAAAAAAAACAATCAAATTGAGTGTGCCTTGCCATTCCACAAACCACAGATGGAGCTGCAAAATAGACACAGAGAAACAGAATGGGTCAGAAGGGGTCTCCTGGGCCATCTAGTCTGACCCCTGGCTCCATAAAACCACAGAATCATAGAACAGTAGAGTTGGAAGGGGCCAAGAAGGCCCTCGGGTCCAACCCCCTGCTGTTGCAGGACACCAGTTTGCGCCGCCCCACTCAGAGGGCTGCCCAGTTTCTTTATAGAATCATTGAATAGTAGAGTTGGAAGGGTCCAGCCGGCTCCGCTCATGACATGCCTACCATGTGCACATCTAGCCAAAATGGGAGAGAGGCCTTCAACGCAGAACTACTGCGGCAGACAAACTGGTGTTTCCACCCTGCCGCAGCCGGAGTGGTTTTCTTCTTGGCCCAAGTGAGCGCAATCTTAGCTCCCTGTCCAGTTTGCTCAGCCTTGTGCCCTTGCCTTAACGAACCCGATGCTCCAAACCTGGCCATCAAGTACTGCTTTGCATGCAAGTAGAGCAAGGCATTCGAATGCACGGAGACCCTCCCAGCCGGTCAAGGGAGGAGCCCAGCTTCCCTTCCTTCGCTTTGCCCGGGGAACCCGGTAGGCTGCACTTCCCCACATGATGGGCTGGCTCCTGGTTAGGTCTTGCAGTGAAGAGGCACACCTGGAATTCCTGGTGACTCTCCCAGATCTCCCAGGGGATTGGCTGTGATGACTGGAAGTACTGAGTGGATAAAGATGTACAACTTGGTGTGGAAATTTAGCACTAGGTCCCTTGCACTCTTTATTCACTTTTTTGTTTGAGTCATTCATACGCCCACCTTCCTACCCCGCAAAAGCTGCTCTGGGCCATGCTATCACCCCAAATTTAAACTAAAAGCTTCTAAAATAAAATCATGCAACACAAATTTATTTATTTAGTAAGCTTCTATGCCGCCCCATTTGCCGAAGACTTGGGGTGGCTCACAACAATAAATAAATACATATTAAACATATAAAAACAATATAATTGGAGATGTCCTGACCGAAGATATAAAATCAATAAATAAAGCTAACAAATAAAATGATGTTTAAATAAAAAGGTCTTGGCCTGGCGCCGAAAAGCAAATTAGTTATAGGTAATAACCAGCACCTTGAATTGAGCTCGGACTTCGATGGGGAGCCAGTGAAGCTGGTAGAGGACTGGGGTTATGTGAGAATAATGCCCAGTCCCCATCAGCAACCTGGCTGCTCTGTTTTGCACCATCTGAATTATCCGGACTGTCTTCAGGGGCAGCCCCAAGTAGAGCCGTTACAGAAATCCAACCGGGAAGTAACCAATGCATGTGTCACTGTCAGGCAGTCTTCCTTCAGGTAGGGGTGCAGCTGATACATTAGCCGAAGCTGAAGGAAGCGCTCCTCGCCACCGCAGTCACTTGAGCTTCCAAGGTCAGCTTCGGGTCGAGGAGCACCCCCAAGCTGCGGACCCTGTCCTTCAGAGGGAGTCCAACCCCATCCAGGACCAGGTCCAGGCCACCTACCCAGGAGCTCAATCCACCCACCAGCAGGACCTCCGTCTTGTCTGGATTAAGTTTCAGTTTATTGGCCCTCATCCAGCCTATTACCTCGGCCAGGCACCAGTTCAGTACAGCCACTGCCTCACCTGGATCGGTTGAAAAAGAGAGGTAGAGCTGGGTATCATTCCGCAGCCCACACCTCCTGATGACCTCTCCCAGCGATTTCTTGTAGATCTTGAATAGCAAGGGGGACAGGATGGAACCCTGCGGAACTCCATGGCATAACTGCCATGGCGCAGAGCCATAGTCCCCCAGCACCACCTTCTGGAATCGGCCATTGAGATAGGAGCGGAACCTCTGCCAAGCAGTGCCTCCGACCCCAATCCCGCTAGCCTATCCAGAAGGATACCATGGTCGATGGTATCGAAAGCCGCTGAGAGGTCCAGGAGAACCAACAGGGACACACTCCCCCTGTCTTTCTCCCTGCACAGGTCATCATACAGGGCGACCATGGCAGATTCAGTACCATACCTGGGTCAGAAGCCGGACTGACATGGGTCCAGATAATCAGTTTCATCCAAGAGTGCCTGGAGTTGTCCTGCCACCACCTGCTCCAACACCTTGCCCAAAAATGGCCACTGGTCTATCATTGGTGGCCACCTCTGGATCCAGGGATGCCTTCTTCAGGACCGGCCGGACTACCACCTCCTTTAAAGGGGCAGGTACCCTGCCCTCCCTCAGAGAGGCGTTGACCACCTCCAGGGTCCAGGTCCCTATCCCGTGCTTGGCGCTGTTAATTAGCCAAGATGGGCAAGGGTCCAATAGGCTAGTGGTGGGACATACTTGTCCAAGCACCTTGTCCACATCATCAGGCCACAGTAACTGAAACTCATCCATCAATTTTGGACAGGACGGCGACATTGGTATCTCCCCAGAAGCATCTGGGTCACTAGTGGAGTCCAGCTCATGACAAATCTGAGTGATTTTCTCCCTAAAATGCTTGGCAAAGTCATCACAGCGGGCCTTCGAGGGTGGAACCGGATCTTTCTTAGGGCCAGGATGAACCAGCCCTTGTACCACCCGAAAAAGCTCTGCCAGACGGCATTGTGAGGAGGCAATGGAAGCGGAGAAGTATTTCTTTTTTGCCGCCCTCACCGCCACAGCATAGGCCCGATAATGGGCTCTCAAGTGTGTTCAGTCAGATTCACCCCATGATCTCCTCCACCTACGCTCTAGCTGTCTCCCAACCTGCTTCATTGCCCGCAATTCAGGTGTATACCAAGGGGAAGAGTGGGCTCTGCCCGGTGAGAGAGGATGCTTGGGAGCGATCGTGTCAATAGCCCTGGTCATTTCCCCATTCCATAGTTCGACCAGAGCCTTGACAGGAGCACCTGTCAGAACAAATATTGAACACACAATTAAAATCACAACTGAGAGAGCCATTTTGGCTAATCAGGCAAGACAGCAACCTGGTAAATTAATAAGCAAGCAACAGCAGTGCGCAAAACCACAACCAGGCCAACAGACCGTCCTGCACAGCAAGGCCTGCCTGAGTCGAAATGCCTGTGCTCAGCAGCGAAGGACAACAGGCCGGGAGCCAAACTCCCCTCCAGCAGGTGGTGCAGCCTGGGGGTGGCCCCCAAGAAGGCCCCAGCTGCGGCAAGACCCCCAACATCACAAAAACTGGGCTGATTGGCTTGCTTATCTGGGCGACTGCCCAGAAGCCTGGCCCCGAGCCACTTGGTGCTGCTTGGGCTAGCACCGGCCATTTGGTTTGCGTCCAGAAGCACTTTCCGTTTCTGGGCATAAGTTGCTGGCTCTAATAAGGTTGGGGACAGTGTCCCTGAAGAACATGCACCTAGCGGAAGCTGGAGGACTCTGGCACAGCTCACCCACTCGAAAGCCAAAAGTGAGGCGGGCGGGGGGAGGGGGGGCAGATTTTTTGCTGAAGTGAGCCACCTTTGCATTTGTGAGGAACAGCGGGATGGGGACGGGTTAAGGCAGAAAATATGGTGTGAAATACAGCAGCAATTTACATAAAATATAGCCACAATGAGTGCAACTTGTGCAAAACTCTGCCGCAATTTGTGCAAATTGCAGCCATCTTTCACACAAATTCAGCCATATGTTATGCAAATTGAAGCCATACCTTATGCAAATTTCTCCATCTTTAAAAATGCCCAAATCGCGGTCAACTTTAGAAGTGGAAGATCACATAGAAACATACGAGGAAAACACAGCAAGTCAGAAGAGGCCTCTCGGGCCATCTAGTCTGACTCTGGGCTCCCGCCGGCTCCGCTCACGACATGCCCACCATGTGGATGTCCAGCCTGTCCCTGGTGCGGCCTCACCGATGGGGCCTCAACGACCTCCCGTGGAAGCCCATTCCACCCCTCGGGGTCCTGACTGTCAGGAAGTGCTTCCTGCCGTCCAAACGAAACCTTGGCTCCCTGAGCTTTGCTCCGTTGGAGCGCGTTCTGCCTTCCTCTGCAGGGGAGAACAGGTCTCTACCCATCTCCATGTGACATCCTCTCACATACCTGTATGTTGCCAACAGATCCCCTCTGAGTCTCCTCTTCTCCAGGCTGAAGAGACCCAGTTCCCTCAGTCTCACCTCATACGGCATCCCCTGCAAACCGGCCACCAACCTTGTGGCCCTACACTGCACTGACTCCAACCTGGCTATATCCTTTCTGTAATGAGGGGCCCAAAACTGAGCACAATACTCAAGTTGCGGGCGCACCAGAGTCGTACAGAGTGGCAGTAAAACCTCTCTCGATCTAGAAGCCACACTTCTGGCTATGCAACCAAGGGTGGCACTCGCCCTCTTGACCACCGCATCACACGGCTGACTCTTGTCTAGCCTGCAGTCAACCAGCACCCCGAGGTCCCTTTCACAAGTGCTGCTCTCCAGCCACTTGTCCCCTAACCTGTACTTATGACACCTATTCCTATGGCCCAAGCGCAAGACCTTGCACTTATCCACATTGAACGCCACCCTGTTGTCTCCTGCCCACTTCCATAGTCTGTCCTTCCGGCTCGGGGCAGCCTTGAGCCTGGCCTTCCAGCCCACAGGCATCACACAAGCGCCCGCACCGCCCTGGCTCCCAACCCGTCATGCGGAGCAGTTGCAAGAAGGGCTGCATCGAAGAATCTTGTAGCCTGCTATGAAGGATAGGACAAAGCTGGTTATAAATCTCAATCAATAAATTATCATCATTCCCTCTGTCAATACTATAGATATGGCTTGAATGTTTTATCGGGGCAATGAGAACGATATCAAGGGAACGATAACAGAGAGGAAGATTCTCTCTTTCATGTAATCAAAAGCTGGAAATCTCAGCCAGAGCTACATTCTTGTCATCATAACTCACTCGTTGCAGTTAATAAAGCTGCAAATCCAAGATAGACAAGATAGCTCCCTTCGAGGTCTCAGGGGAAAAGCAACACCTGCCTGGGACACTGGGCTGATCTGTCCCTGCTACGTTATTAGCTCTGCACAGCGCTGCTGGCATCGGGGCGGGGACGTCCCCCGGCACATCACAGCCACTGCGTGGAAGGAAGAAGGCAGCCGACGGACGGACGTGCACCACGTCCCCGCTGGGAACCTGCCTCATGGGAGATGCCCCCTGGGGAATTAAGGCGAGGCACAATTGCTGCCCAGGCGGGAGGGGCAAGTGAGAGGATGCCGCGAGGGATACCCAGAGGGAGAGAGGCGAGTGCAAGGGAGGGGGAAGGACGCGTGCCGTTCGGTGGACTGCGCCACGGACCACGGGTGGCGTGGGAGAGGAAGTGGCGGGCTCCACCACTTTCTCTGGGGCACGGAAGGAGGGCAGCCAGCTGCGCACTGTGCTGGGAGTCCGCGTGGTGTCGGGTCTCCCAGTTCAGTGTGCCGTTTTCCTCGACTGAGACGAAGGCCAGCTGGACACGATCGGACGGGTGCAAAGGGGAAGGGCAGAAGTGCCCCCCTCCATCTGGGGTCCCGTTTGGGAGCGGCTGATGCAGGGCAAGGCGGCTTTCATGGACTTCCGGCATCTCAGCCTCGTTCTGCAGAGGCGACCCAGAGCGACATGGGGACAGCGCAGCGCTCACGCCACGGCAGCCGGGCCTCCCGAAGCCCCCATTTCCCTTGGTCCTGCAGCACGGCTGGCCAATCCACTCCCCCTCCTGGACCCTGCAAAAGGTATTGCACAGAAGTAGGGTCCTACCTTCAAGGGGAAGCGTGCAGAGAAGATCCACCTTCTGCTGAAGCAAACTAAGGAGCTGAAAAATACGGTGCTACACAGATGGACAGCCGGCATTGAGATAAGGAGCCCACGAGGCCCTAGCCCCACCTGTCAAACAAGAACTTGAGGCTCTCCCCCTCTCCTGCCCATCCCACTCTTTTGGGCAAGAGATCATGGGGGACACCTCCCTCTGGTACAATTTCCACAGCCTGCTCCTTTCCATCACTAGTATACTATACTTCTCACTAGTCAGGCCTCACCTGGAATACTGTGTCCAGTTCTGGGCACCAAGATTTAAGAAAGATGCAGAAAAATTAGAAAGGGTCCAGCAGAGGGCAACAAAAATGATCTGGGGTTTGGAAACACTGCCCTGTGAGGAAGGGCTGAGAGAACTGGGCTCATTCAGCCTTAAGAAGAGAAGACTGAGGGGGGACATGGTATCCCTCTAGAAGTACCTCAAAGGTTGTCACAAAGAGGAAGGTCAAGATCTCTTCCAGCTGATGCCAGAGTGGAGGACACGGAATGATAAATTCAAGTTGTGACAACCCAGTTTCAGGCTGGACATCAGGAAAAGCTTCCTCTCTGTCAGAGCAATATGACAGTGGGACCAGCTGCCTGGAGAGGTGGTGGCTCTCCCACATTGGAGACATTCCAGGTGAAACTGGGCAGCCACCTGAGTGGGGTGGTGTCACGTGGTGCCCTGCAGCAGCAGGGGGTTGGACCCAATGGCCTTCTTGTCCCCTTCCAACTCTACTATTCTGTGATTCTATGATCATCCTCAGCCAGCAGTCCCGCACATCTGGATCAAGGGTGCGAGGAACCTGTTTTGGGGCTGGGAATCCATACACTTCCCTCAACTCCAGTTCAGGCTGCAGTTGCTCCTGGTCGGCACCCCTAGTGTCCGTGCACCTGGCCAGGAACAGATCCCCTGGCAAGCACCACCCAGGCACCCCCCCCCCCCCCCCCCCCCCCCCAGGCCGCTGCTCCTTTTGTGCTTCTGCATCTGGCGCAGAGGAAGATGGCTGATCATGCAGCCTTTACTCCTGGGTTCCCTCTTGGCTCTGCTCACTTTCCCAGACTGGGCCGAGCATAAGAGGAAGTCTGCAAGAGCTAGGGGAGCAGTTTCTGTGGATCCCCAAAGGCATCCCCACATCTGGGGGACACCAGGCTGGGGAAGGCTCTTCTTGTAAATCTTTAACTCAAAGAACGAATTCCAGGACAGTCCAGGGCAAACTCCTGGGGAGTCTGTGGACAATGCAGAGGCAGGACATGATAAAGTTCCTGCACATTTTAGGAGTGGGCCTTGGGCAAGAAGCTTTGCCACACAGGGATGCCACAAGCATGTTCTTATTTCCATCCCCAAAGATTTTGAGGTATGGAATTAAAACGACACCCACGGGAAGGACCAATGTTCCCTCCTCTAGCCAGTACGGGCAACCCCTGGCATCCGGCCTCAAGATGCTTAGCCACACCCCCCCTCCGGTCTGATCAGCCGCCCGGGGCCCCTCGCAGCCGTCCTCGCATCTCCTTTCATGCAAGGCCTTCTCCTCTCACAGGTTCCCTCTTCCCCATGCCAGTCACTAGGACCCGGAAGGGGCTTTAGGCTCGAAGGCCCTCCGTCAAGGCGAAGGCGCAGCCATGTGAACTCTGCACCACGAAGCCCTCCGTTCTCTCGCTGGGCTCGGCGCCTGAGTGGAGCACTGCTTCTCCTGAGCCTCCATCAGAGCTGGCATCATCCTCCACCAAAGCAGCCATGCTTCCCCTTTGCCATCTCCAAAGTGTTGGATGACTCAGAGAACTGGGAAGCAATTAGAGTGGGTCCATTATCTGCCTTCTTGGTGGTCCCAGTGCGATCACATTGTCAGACACGGCAATTAGCAGGGAAAGGCTCGAGAGACCACTAATAGACGCTCCGCAAATTTTTTAAGAGGTCCAAGCAAAATGCAATTTTCTGCAGTTTGCCAAGGCCCGGGCCTTCCCGCGTAGCTTGCCTCTTGATTCTATTGATTTGGAAATAGGATAATGCAGCTTCCCCTTCAGAGCAGGCTCAATAATCGTCAGAACCCTCTGCTGCCTGGACGCAGGGGCTCCGCCGCTCCAAGCCTTTTGCTGAGTCAAGCAGCATCCTCTTGTCTTTGTCTCTGCGGGGAGTGATAAAAGGCAATCCATTCCTCTTTGAAATGCTGGCAGCCTGCAGTTCTCTACTTTACCTCCGAGGCCGTGGGGAATTGGATGCCAGGCGTTGCTGTGCGGAGAGTTCGATGCTGGGGAGACCCTGGCGGCGATCCTGAGCCACGTCTGCGCGGGCCTGCCTGACCCCAGCCCTCCTCCTCGGCTTCTGCCTCTGATACCCGAGCACAAGCCCGCCCTCAACCAGCGCGCACCATGTGTCCATGCTCCATGTGCTGGCTTTGCTCAAGGGCCCCTGCTCGCAGCCACACATTTGGTGCGTCCATAACGTGGAGGGCGCTTTTTCTAAAAAAGGATTTGCATGGAAATTCATAAGCTTCTTCGTGCCTGTTTCTCTTAAGAACATGATTTTTGCCTAACACGCATTTCCAAGAAAGCTCCTGAGATAAAGGCCTCCCGTCCCACCCAGCTCACCTTGCTACAGGAAGGAGAGGGTGGGTGGTGGGGCGGGAAGGGACGGGACGAGACCCTGCTGCGCAAGCCGTTTCACGCACGAGCTCAGCCTGCTGCCAGCTGGGGCCAGACGCACAGTGCGGCGTGACCCACGGGCCCCGCTCTCGGCCTCTTGGTTCCTCTGGCCGCAGGCAAGGGTGACGTGCCAGGAGCTGCCGCAGTTTGATCGGCAGGTTCGGGCACCGGGCCGACCCGGGCTGCTTCCAGCTCGTGGCATCAGGGCCCGCTGGCCAGAGCGCCATCCTGGGGCCGTGGGTCCCTCCTGTGGCTGCATCCAGAACCTGCCTGCTTCCCAGCACCAACCGCTGCAGGGGGGACAGGGGTTCCTTTGCCACTGGGGCACCTTCTCCACCTCAGCTTTCATTCGGAGATGTAGAGGAGCTCCTCATGGGACTCTGTGAAGGTGGACCTCTCCTGGGTGGAGCTCAGCCACATGGATAGCTCCCAGGAAGCCCAAAAGGAAAGCTGCAATGGCTGATGAGCCCCACTGCCCCGGGGATGCCAGACTCCTGGCCGCTGGCTTTGAGCCACTCATTCGCCTGCCTGGGTGCCAATAAGATGCCACCTGCATCCACGACTCCTGGCCCACCCAGAGCAGAGGGCCTCGCCCCCTGGGCAGGGCTTGCGCAGGCTGTTTTGGGGGCCCTCGCTGGGTGCAGCCGACACGAACCCCAGGCCAGCCTCCCCCCGCCCAGCCTGTGGGAGGCTGGGCTCTTCCGGCCTTCCTGGTGTGCGGATGAGCTCCTGCTTGGCCCAGAGCAGGCGGCACCCTGGCCGCTCCGGCTTGCTTGGCTGCTGTTGCTCGTTGGGAGCCGGTGCAGATGTAGCTTGCGTGGCCACCCCGGAGGCAGGAGGACATGCTGTGGCCAGGGTGGGGCGAGTGAGAGCCACGTCTGCCCAAGAGGGACGGGCACGTGCCCTTCTTCCCCGCCTCTCCTGCCCAATGCTGCAACCTGCCTTCACCCTGTGCCTGCTGGAGGGGCCGGCCTGAGATCAAAGCCCTGGCAAGGAGACGGCCTCGGAGACCACGCGTGCCATGGCAGGTGGAAGGGCCCCAGCTCCCCCGGGTTTGGCAGCCGGAGCAATGGGGCTGTGGAGGAAAGTGCAGTCGCTGGGGACTCCAGAGGTTGGTCTGCTTCAGACCCGCTCGGCCTCTGCGGCTCCGCAGCCAGCAGAAATGGTCGAGGAAGGAGCAGGAGGCACGTCAGCACCGCCGGTTTCCACTGCAGTCAGTCTGACAGGCAGCCTTCGGGAAGCTGCGCCGTGAGCCCTGAGAGTTGGGACCCCAGATGGCTCCCCTGATGCCGTTTGCTGCCATGCTGCACGCCCAGTCTGGCTTCCCAGAACAGAAATGCCTCCCTAGGGCAGGCCTCTTGGGAGGACCATTACCGTGTCGTGAGCGGGGCCGGCTGGGGCTGGGGCTGGGGCTGGGGCTGGGGCCGGGGCCGGGGCCGGGGCCGGACTGGAGGGCCCGGGAGGCCCCTCCCGACTCGCTCTGTCCCGGTGTTTCCAGCCTGCCCTGGGGCAGGGCCTGCGGAGCTCGGCGCCTCTGCCTGCGTGTCGCTGACAGCCACGCTTTGCGCGGATCCGAGCACATGAGTGTCAGCCTGGTGTGTAAATTCCTTATTGATTAACTCCCACATCAGGCATGGCACCTTTTTTTCCAAGGGTCAATGCAGGTTAACTGATTGTCCTCCCACATTTACTCTTTCCAGGAGACCTTCTGGATGAGAGCGGCAGTGAGAACCGGACTCACTGGGTTCCCCAGACAGGAGAAGTGTGCATTTTCTGAAGTGTGAATCCAAATACTAACCTTTCTCTGTTGACTAAAGGATAAAAATGTGCATTTTTCAAAGTATACATTTTAAAGTGCGTATATTTCTATTTAGCACATTTTAGGAACGCAACTGCAGGCTCGGGTCGTACCGGGGCCTTGCCTCAGAAATCTCCTCACGTGAAGGCTTATGCGTGGGATAAGCTCTGCCACGTATTGCACCGAAACAAAGTTTTCGCGCACCCCCGGAGGAGCTGCGCTGTGCGCTTTGTGCCCCCCTGCGTGGAAACCCCCACCCTGTCCACTGACGGCTTTACCGTCTCCCGGCTTCCGATCACCCGGAGCCTGTCTGGGTGGCACGTGGCCTCTACCCCCCCTCTTCTTGACAGCCAGGGACGCGGGCGCAGAGAAACGGTGAATGGCTGGGTCTCTCGGCCCCAGTATTGCTGAGACCGCACTAGTTCTGTTCCATGCAAGTTTTGAATTTTTGGAAAGAAATACATTTTATTTATTTAGGTCATATTTAAATAACTACACTGTTATGCAAATTACACATGCATTTTGAGCTCAGTTTAAAGACGTACACATTTCTCAAGTGCTCTCCATTGTGGTTTGCTGCACATTTCGGTGCACATTTTCCCTCCAACAGAGTTGCGTCATCAAGCTCAGAAACCGGCGCATTCAGGGAAGCGAGTCACAAATTAATTTAGGAGCTGCTAAATTCACATGAAAGCCTTGCCATGACGAGGTCCACCCTGTCCCTTAGGGCACCCACCATAGCGCAGGCAGCAGGTCCGAGATTCTGCACCGAAAGGAGGGAAGGGGGGCAGGGAGCCAAGCACTGCTCAAGGAAGCGTCTTTTCAGAAAATGGGTGCGCCCCGACTCTGCCCGGGGCTCCAATGCCCCACCACCCAGCCAGGTATCCTCCTCATCACGTTCACGGTTGTCCCCTGGATAGCAAGAGGCACCTTCTTCTGGGGCCACAAGGGCCTTCCACAGTCTTGCCCTTTCCAGAGGACGGCCTCCTTCCCCGGAGGATTTGCGGCTTAGTTCCATCACCCCGCTACCCTGGTTGCTGCAAGGGCACATGGTGGGCGGGCGGGAACTCCTGTTTTGTGTGGCACACACAGTCCCCCGTGACCAAGGCTGTAAAGCATCCCACCAGTTAAATATATTCCCCAACTGATCAACAGCAATAACAGTTGCACAGTAGCTTAATCGTGTGAACTTTAATAAACCCCTTTGATTCAATGCGCACTGAAGATTTAATGCTGCAACAGGTTGCCTCGAATCACAGCTGCAGCGATGAAAAATGTGTCCACACAATCTGAGCGGAGCAGCCAGCCAGACGGGTGATGGAGCACCAGGGAAGGCACTCTCAGCCGGGCTGACTGGACATCTCCATTTGGGGGGAGGAGGCGGGGTGGGGATAATTAGGTTAATTGCTTATTTGCATATGGAGGCAGCAGGAGCAGTCAAGAACTCACCAGGACATGGGGGGTGACACCAGCTTGGGGAAAGGGAGGGAAAGAACTGCACATGGGCAGAATTTAGGAAGGCTGTTGTTCTGGCATGCGGTGCAATCCAGCAGGTATGTCAAGGGAAGAGAGATCTCATGACGGCAACGTGGAGGCATGTGTGTGACACGCAAGCACGTTCTGCACCAGACACCAAGACCCGGTGGTCCGACGGAGCTGCAACCAGCCATAATCAGCCAGCCAGCCCGCCCACGGAAAGAGTGCAGCCTACCTGTGCAGCACGCCTGCCAGTACGAAACGCAGGGGCTCAGAATGCTTGCACCCAACACAAGTAAGGCGGACCGACAGAGTGATCCTGTGAGCCCTCGGCAAGGTCGAGGGGGCCAAAGGATGGTTTCCATGCTCAGAGCACCCTCTCCCCACAGCTGGTGTGGGAAGACCCAAGCCAGCTGCTTCGCCAAAGCCGTAAGGCCAGCTGCCACTGCACCTTCTGCTCACAAATTCCACGGTTTAGGCCCTGGGTAGAGCACGCTTCTCCCCCTCCATCCTGATTTTTCATTGACCTACTTCCTTGGCCGGGTCTTGGTTCTTCTCCCTCTCCACATTCTCTGCTCTACTCATCATTTTCCACGCAGGTTACAGGCATCGCACTCTTCAACCATACGGCACCCTTCGTGAGGTAGCCACCAGACCTGTTCACTGGATTTCTTTCAGGCGGGATTAGCTCGGCAGGCTTCCTTTTCCTAATGACGCAGCTAAAAAATTTGCCCTCCCCACAGCGGCCACCGGCTGGCTCACCAAGCTGCCCAGCTCAGCTCCAAGGCCCTTTTGCGGGGCAGCGACAGCCATCCCGCCCTTGCCACGGCCGGGCCCGGGAGCGGCGCGCTTGGGCCAAAACCATTATCTGGACCCATTTCAGTCCGGCTTCAGACCCGGGTACAGTACTGAATCTGCCTTGGTCGCCCTGTACGATGACCTGTGCAAGGAGAGGGACAGGGGGAGTGTGTCCCTGTTAGTTCTCCTGGACCTCTCAGCGGCTTTCGATACCATCGACCATGGTATCCTTCTGGATAGGCTGGCGGGACTGGGAGTTGGAGGCACCGCGTGGCGGTGGTTCTGCTCCTATCTCAACGGCAGATTTCAGAAGGTGGTGCTGGGGGACTATGGCTCTGTGCCATGGCAGTTATGCCATGGAGTTCTGCAGGGGTCCATTTTGTCCCCTTTGCTGTTCAACATCTACATGAAACCGCTGGGAGAGGTCATCAGGAGCTGTGGGCTGTGGAATCATCAGTACGCTGATGATACCCAGCTCTACCTCTCGTTTTCCACCAATCCAGGTGAGGAAGTGGCTGTGCTGAACCGGTGCCTGGCCGAGGTAATGGGCTGGATGAGGGCCAATAAACTGAAGCTCAATCCAGACAAGACGGAGGTCCTGTTGGTTGGCGGATCCGGCTTTGGAGAGGGTGAATTGAACCTTGTCCTGAATGGGGTTGCACTCCCTCTTAGGGACAAGGTCCGCAGCTTGGGAGTGCTCCTCGACCCGGAGCTTTCATTGGAAGCTCAGGTGACAGCGGTGGCGAGGAGCGCCTTCCTTCAGCTTCAGCTGATTAATCAGCTGCGCCCCTACCTGGAGTACGACTGCCTGGCGACGGTGACACACGCGCTGGTGACTTCCCACCTTGACTTCTGTAACACGCTCTACGTGGGGCTACCCTTGAAGACGGTCCAGATACTTCAATTGGTTCAAAATAGAGCTGCCAGGTTGCTCACGGGGACTGGGCATTATGTTCACATGACTCCAGTCCTCCGTCAGCTTCACTGGCTTCCCACTGAAGTTCGGGCCCAATTCAAGGTGTTGGTGATGACCTATAAAGCCCTAAACGGCTTGGGTCCTGGCTACCTGAAGGAGTGCTTACGTCCATATATGCCCGCCTGCCCCCTGAGATCTGCGGGAAAGGCCCTTCTCCGGGAACCCTCCGTGAAGGAAAT